TCTGAGGGTCTTGGGGCGAGGAAAGGGTCGAACTGGGGTGGCCAGTCCCAGGTCGAAAAGGGGACAGGATGGGACGGGGAGCAGCAGGGAGACGGTGGCAACCCTGTGCCGGACTTTGGCAGGGTCTGCCGCCCGACCCACCCTTAGGGGAAAAAGGGTTAGGAGTGGGGGGGACGGAATGAGGGTTAGGAAAACTGGGGGCCCAACTCTCCCGTTTTTGTTTAAATAACGTAAAAATAGAATGAAATAAAGGAAAGAAACGTCCCACTTTAAAATTCCCCTTAACTTGTAAATCGTATAATAAACGCCCAACTTTTCCCCAAAACTGAACCGAGTTGAAATCTTCCTGCGCAGTGTCAGGAAGGTGGTCAAAAATTAAATTAATTAAGGCTTTTAAATCCCTTTTGTTAAAAGAAATATTTCCCAGAACAAGGGATGACTTAACGTGGGAATAGAAATCCCGCCGAGCCGGAGACATACGGTTGCCCATTATGTCAGAACGGCTAAAAATTCCCCAAGGAGGCAAAGGAGAAACAGAAAAGAAAAGAGACGGGGTCAGGTGCCAGACGGGGCACGAAAAACTCACCACAAAGGACGCCCGTCGAAAAGAAGATAGCCTCAATGGGGGGTGGAAGCGCTACAGGTCCGGAGTGCGAGGGAGCTTCCGCGAAGCTGCTGTTCCTGCTCCTCCGGGTGTCCGCAGCCCACGAGGCGAAGGGTCTTCAGAAAACGAAGCACGGTCGTCCGTGGAACCAGGTCCAAACGGCGCTTGAATTCCTCGGGCAGCCGGCTCACGGAGTCGAAGCTGTCGAGGAGACGCTCTCCGCTTGACTCCGTGCAGGGGTCAGCGTGTTCGGGCGCCAGTTAAAGCGTGACTCGGTCCGCTCCGACCAAGTCGGGGACTTCGGGCACGCTTTGATGGTAATAAAGAGAAGGAGTCTTCCACCAGACGGGAGTCTCTCAGGCGGCTTTATTCTGAGGGCTTATCAAGGGAAGGCGAAGGAGGTGAAGGGACGCAACCACTCAGAGGGCGAGCCAGCTCTGAGAGCCCCGAACCAGGGCGGGGCAGGGTATATAACAGTTACAGGGGAGGAGGGTCAAGGGGTAGAGCATCCAACCGGGTGAGAGTATGAGGGTGGAGTCAACGGAGAGTGACATGGCAACGGCCAACTGGGATAGAGGGAAGGAGTGGTTTCGGGGGAGGAACCAATGGGGGTACAAAGAACTGAGAACTTTCCAGAACAAAGGGAAGGAGTACAAAATGATTGACATAAACTGGGGGAAGGGAGAACAGATAACAGACAACTTGGGAGGCGGGAAAACTACACATCTGTGGCCTCCCATGGCAATGCAGGGAGGTCACCAGTCACACCCCCTCCCACACCTTTCCACCTAAGTGAGTTTTGAGTAGTTCACTTTTATTGTCTGTATTTGGTTTGATGAGCTATCCCCACGTGATTTAGAGAACAAATGTTAAGATTGTGTCCTGTCCTGAAAAATATCTGAAAATATCTCCAAAATAAGTGACTTATAATTGAACCAGGGGAGGGTTGAACCCCTGCTGAACCACGGAGCAAGCCCTGACATGATGGATGCAGGAGACTTTGAACTGCAGAGCATGTAGCATCACCCTAATCTTCACTCTTCCAGGATGGCTAAGTAATGAGTGGGTGCAGGAAGGCATGGTCTGCAGATTCCTGGCTGCTGTGGGTGTTGGAGCATCACCAGCTGAGGCTGTGACAGCAGCACCATGGTTACCTATTCCAGCAAGGCTCTCTCAGAGACACTTGATTGCCAGTTTGTGTATTAGCACCCTTGATGATGACATTCTGCTCCTTGAGAGGCCTATGCTCCATGTCTGTAACCATCTGCAGCCTTTCTGAGTTTCTTTGCTTCATCAGCTCCCATGTGGAATTCATTGTGGTGCTCTCATAACTTGCTGATGTGCAGCCTTATCTGTACTGCAGAAAGAGAGACTGAACTTCCCCTGGGATCCTGCTTCAAACCCAGTGGGATGTGTGTGTGTGAATGTGGATCACTTCTGGCCAGCACAGGGGCTACTTTTGCCATACACTTGCAGTGCATTCTTATGATTAGGGAAATACAGGATGTAACACAGAGATTACACAGTATCTCTAAATACACTCTGACCTTTCCTTCTCTCTCCCAAATTGCATAGCTATTTACACACTGAGTCTCCTCCCACCTTTCAGCTCTGAGGGCTCCCTAGTCCAGAGTCTTCTGTGCTGAAATCTAACACTGGGCAAGCCATGTAAACTGAAGCCCTTGGTTTGTTTTAGCTGATGGAACAGCTTTCCTTTGGTCTGCTGATGGAACAGCTTTCCTTTGGTCTCCCTTCCATTAAATCTCCTGATGAGATTCTGGAATGCCATGCTGCCAGGGCACAGCAGAGAGGATTACTGGTAGGACTTAGGGATTAGCAACTCAACATACACACCCAGCTCTTGAGAACCTTCAGGAAGCCAAGCAGGGCGCTGCTGAATTTTTTATTTTTGTCTGAGAGCACAAGAGATCAGAATGGTAGCAGTGGGCAGGGAATGGAAGCAACAATATTCGGAGAGTATTTGTTTCTGATGGGGAGTCATCTCCAGCTCAAAGAGTTATATTACATTACAACTGTTGTGTTTGAAATATTCCTGTGGAGGACAAAGACCATAGGCAGAGAAGTCTCTGGAGAAGGGAAGATGTGGGCTGAAATGAGACCATAGATATTTGTACCTGTGTTGGAACTCCCACAGTCCAGGGGAGCCCTGTTTCATCTCTCAGCAGCCCTTTGCCTTCAGACTGGGATCTCACTAGCATCACTGTAGAACTCAATGGTTAACAGTGAATTTTCCATCTCTGTTAGGAAGAGCAGAGCAGCCAAGTTCTCTGTTGAAGAGTTTTATCCTGTCATGCAGCAAGAGCCAGGACATCCAGTCTGTCCCATCATGGCTCAGCCTGGCTCAGCTTGACAAGACACTTGGCTTGGCTCCGTGCTTCAAAAGAATGACATTTTGCCCTTAGTAATAGCTTTCTTCTTTACATACTTTTAGTTAACCTTTATTTCTTCTGTTTGTTTTAAACCATTAAAACGTAATTTATTTGTTTGTAAAAAAAAATCTTTGAATGGCAGATTAAGTCTTAAAAGACAGAGCATGTGGGCCAATACTAACAGGATGGGTGTTTTAGGATGTTAATTATAGACTAAATTGCATTCTGTGGATTAAAAATGTGCTACAAAGGGGATGGAAACTTTGAGGAGGCATGCTTTTTCTCCCACAGTCATTGTGGTGTTAGGAATTTGGGTTAATGTTATTTGAATGTCAACTGGAGCAGCAACCCAAGGCCCCCTCAGGATCTGGCACACCTCATCAGCTAGTTGGGCAAAGAAGGGGTGTTGCCAGGAGCATTTGAATGGCTCCAGGGAGTGCAAGTGGTAGTCCAATTGCACAGGCAGGGCAAAGTACTGCAGCAAGAGCAGCTAGCTCGGTTGCTGGTCCTTACATTCCCCAAGAGAGCTCAAATATTATGTCTTCTCTGAGGTATTGTCTGAGGTCATTGAAAAAATGCAGCAACCCAGACAGAGTTCACAAAAAACCATGAAAAACATGCAAAACTCTATGTAGCCATTCGAGCTTCAGGCTACAGGGTATGCCCATGCCTCTCAGTGGGTTGTAGCAGTGGAAGTTGCATCAGATGTGACTAGGTGGACAAGCTGCTCAGTCTAGTGGAGATATGAAACGAAGTAGAAAGGCTCAGAAGCATCAGAGAATCAGAGAAGGAGATAGACTGATGGGACCATGCCTGGGCCTCCCTAAAGAAGGAGCAGCTACCAGAAACAATTCAAGATCAAGGGGATCCTCTATCCATCCCCCAGCAAGGAGGAGGATACCAGTTGTGAAGCAAGAAGTTGACTAAATGGGCCCAACCAGTAGGAAGATCTGCTGCCTCCATGGGGTAAGGATGTCACAAGGAAACTTCCAATCCTGGTGTGGCCCACAGGCTACTACTCATTACTGATCTTCTATATAGAGGGTGAGGAAATGGCAACATGTAGTCTGAGGGCCTTCAAAAGAGATTGCAGGGCTTTGCCACCTTTGATAAGGGAATCTTATCCTGCAAATATATCAGGACTTAGCAGATGTATGAAAACCCTTTCTAAGGAAGTTTGTTTGTGTAATAATCCAAGGCATGGCAACTTCAAATCTTCCTATCACAAAATTAGGTATCTAATCATTACCGAAGTCCATCTGTCAAAATGCTATGTTAACACAACTATTCTGTCGTTATACCCAAACTAGTGTTGGTTTTGGACTCAAATTAGTTCATTTGTTTGTTTTGTTGTTTTGTTTTGTTTTGTTGGGGTTTTTTGTCAGTTCTTACTCTGTTCCCAGTGGTATACATGCCCCGAATCTATAAGGCAAGCAAACACTTTTGACTCCTTTTGCCAGTGTAGTTGTCTCAGTGCTCAGAAGCAGTATAAGTGTTTTTCTTTTTTATCAAAAAAAGTAGTATCTCTCATCAATGGTTGTTATCACCAGCTGTTGAGAACCACCAGCTGCTCCTTTTCTATCACCAGCTGTTGCCTACAGGGATGTGAATCTTCAGAAATGTTCTTTTAATAAACTCTGAAATTACATTGTCTCACAATAATGTAACTTAATTTTTTGCTTATATGATTGTTTAAAATATTCTGTTGGTAAAGAGGCATAAAAACAGAATAGAGGCACAAGAAACTGTCTCTGTAGCTGCAAAATTCATCTCTGTATGAATAACTGTAACTCACCATTACGGTAGATTGTCCAAACAGTGGGCAGAGATAGCTGTTTCAATATAAATTATCTGTGTATAACAAGGCATGTAAATGTATGTGTATATATATTTAGAGCAACCCTTCCTCTCCTCACTGAAAAACATGTTCTTCTGCATAGCAAAGCTATTAGGGAAGGGAAAAAATTGAACTATAAGACTGAAAGTCAGTAGTACACTGCTTAAAACACCCAAGTAAAAACTTTCAGATTTGCCATTATGTGAATATTTTTTAACATTCTTTTCTCTGCTAATGGATACTAAAAGCAGAGAGGCTTAATGGAGATTTTTGTTCAAGAAGTTATTTTACCGGAGGTTAAGTTCTTTGAGAAAGTTGTTGTATATGTTGGAGTTTTTATTTTATTTTAACAGATTCTTATAGAGCAATTTGAGTCATGTCTGAAATGTACTTGAAAGTTGCTGCTGGTGTTCTGCAGTTTTGCACACTGCTTTCTGGAATTACACTGATGATATTCTCTGGAATGAAGGAACACAGGACTTTAGGAGAATGCAGAAACCTTAAAACACTTTCCTATACCTAAAATGTTGCATTTCTGTGCTGAAGTACTGTGAACTTTTTTTGAACCTCAGCTATTAGCCAAGAAGAACAACAGCAGTGGAAGCCCTAGCCAAGGCCGAATCCATCAGAGACAGTAGTAGGAAAAAAACCCGATCTACTGTTGGAATAATAACAGAGGAGAAGAATGAGAATATATATCAGAAGCAGCTCTGCGGACACCAAGGTTAGTGAAGAAGGAGGTGGAGGAAGTGCTTCAGGCACTGAAGCTGTGGTGAAGACCAAGACTGTCCCCCTGCAGCCATGGAGGTTGCATGGTGTAGCATAGATCCACCTGAAGCCCATGGAGGACTCCAAACCAGAGCAGCTGGATGCCTAAATTTGGTTGTGAGCTTGTGGGAAGCCCATGCTGAAGCAGGTTTTCTGGTAGGACTTTAACCCTGCAGGGGACCCGCTGTGGAGCAGCCTGTTGCTGAAGGAGTGCACCCCATGGAAGGGACCCATTCTGCAGTCCATGGGAAGGACTCACATTTGGGTGAGGATCTACACAATGGAGCAGGGGAAGAGTGTGAGGAGTCCTTTCCTTGAGAATGAAGGAGTGGTAAGAGAGCATATGCTGAATTGACCACAGCCCCCACTACCTGTCCTACTGTGCCACTGGGAGAAAACCAGGTAGAAAAATCAGCAATCAAGTTAACCATGGGAAGAAAGAGGAATGGTAAGAATGGGGTTTTTTTAAGTTTTATTTTTGTTTGTTAGTTTTATTTCTTATTGTCCTGTGGGAATCCAGGACATCCCTCTGGCTGCCCTGGAAAATCTGAGACACTGGCAGGGGATCAGAAACCCCCCTGGACAGAGCCTGCAGAGACACTGTCTCTGATCTCTGTCCATGGAAAAGAGTTTTCCATCTTACAAGATGAATTACAAAATCTGAGTGTTTGATATAAGTAATAATTAAGTGTGGCATGGGTGCAAAAGTAGAATTTTAGGATTCTAGATAAGGGGTTCAAAGGTGACATGATGGAGGAAAATTGGGTGTGCCTTGTCCTTCTTCTTCATGTCTTCCATGTTTCACTGTAGTGTTGGCATTTTTCTATTGGTTTAGACTGGGGACACACTGTTCAATGTAGGTGATAGTTATTGTAAATTTAGCACACGTAGTTTCTGGTATATAATGTTTGTAACATCCCACTGAGGGGCAGAGCCCCACACGCTGTCCTGCAGGACAGACCTGCGGCAGGGCAGCAGAACATGTTAGAGATAAGCAAGAATAAACAACCTTGAAAACCAGCACAGATTAATTACGACTTCTTTTGCTGCGGGGCAGAAAGACAGAGACTTTCTACATTCTCGGGATCATTTAAATATCACAGATTCCAACATTGTCCTATTCTAATTTGATTGGCAATAAACTAAACTAAGCGATGTTCTGCCCATGACTGTAACTGATGAGTGATCCCTTCCTGTATTTATCTTGATTTGCAACTTCTCATTATGTGTTCTCTTTCCTGTCCAGATGAAGAGGGAAGCAAGTTACATCAAGATACACATCTTCCCTCTCTATTTCATCTGCTAAGCAGGAAAATATCAACTGTATAACTCTAAGAAGAAGAGTCTTCAGAATAAAAATCCCTTTATGAGGGTGAAAGACTGGCACACACGATGCTGTCTCACTTTCACATGAATATGTGGAAAAATTTTGTAAACAAAAGACTATGTCAATAGTAAATTAACTTAGCTGTCACTGTTTGATCAAGCATCCTTTTTTTTTTTTTAATGGCTGGTTATAGCATTTTTTTTCTCTGAAAGTTAAACAATAATAGAAGTTGAATTCCATACACAGAAGTTTTTTTCTAAATTAGAAAAGAAAACCTCTGTAATAACATATCCATATTAATTTGTTTATATCAGCTGAAAGACTTAGCATAGAATAAGATTTTTTTTTTATTATGATGATTTTTATTGAATTTTTTTAATGCTGATGTCTATTCTTCCAAGTTCAAACCATTTTTCAAATGCAATAAACTTTCAGAAACCCCAAACAAACTACAATAAACTCCACCTGCACAACTGGCTTGCATATTCAGGGATGATCAGATGAACATTTGGCTTTTTGTCTTAAATTTCTTTTGGGAGGTACTTGGAGTCCATATTGCATTGTACCAATCATTTGCCAGTGAGCATGACCTCTGGTTTCCCAGATGAGAACTCCTTCCCCATCCTGTCTCTTTGTCAACATTTGATCTAAGATCTCCAAAAGATCATGCCAACTGAGTAGTAGAGTGGTCTGGAGAGAAAAGAAACTGTTGAACTACAGTTTGCTTAAGCAAGTAAGGCATGTATGTTTAGTTTCTTGCTCTGCTGAAGATTTTATTTGTGAAATTGGGAATAGGTGTCCTGTCTGTCTTCCTTTTCATAGCAAAAAAAAAACCCCAAAAAAACTATGCCCCTTGGGTACTCTGTAAATTAATATTTATGAAGAGCCTAAAGGATTATGCTGAGAAAGGGATGTATGTGAAGTAGTTCTAGCAAATGTCTGCACCAGGTTCATGTCAGATTGTTGCTGGGTTTTATTTCTCTTGGAAGGGAATTCAGTGTTTAAACCAGAAAGAATACACTGGAGAGTGTGTGAGTTATAAAAAAGCTTCAAAAGTTCCTCTATAGCTGTTCTGACTCCAAGTGCTTGTAAATGCTCTCATTTCAGAAAAATTGAATATTTAAGCCAGGCAAATTTGTCTTCAGAAATTTGGTACTTCTCTGTTTGTCTTTCCTGGGGGGCTTTGGCTGATGCTTTCCATGTATTCTTGCTGGATAAGGGACACTGCAAAAGCCAGGGTATGTCTCCTATAACTTAATGGATAGAAAAGGTGAGATACTTCTTAACTCTCTTTTCACAAGCTGAAAGTGTCAAAGTTTTGACTTGTATTTCAAAAACTTCACTTTATTTCATACAATTACTGTTTTTTGACATGAACTGCATGCAAAATATATCAGATACTGGGCTCTTTGCGGGCATGCAAACAGCAACTTGCAGGCTCTTTTTGCATGGCAGGAAAAAAAACTATAATGGACACAAGTAATACAAGAGATTTTGCTTGTCTATAAAGACATTTTCACCCTAAGTACAGTCAAAGAGTGGGATAGACTGTTCAGACTCCATCTTTTTGAGACCAGACTGGATCAAACCCTGAGCAATCAGTCTGACCTCAGAGTTGGCTTTGCTATCTCTGGGCAGTTGGACTAGGGACCTCTTGAGTTCCTCCAGCCTGAATTTGTGATCCATGAAACTATATACATCTTTGTTGTTTAGTCTTTTTTTTTTTTTTTTTTTTTTTTTTTTACTTTTTGTAGGTGAAATGTGGATAATTTGAGGGTTAAGAATAATATGTTTTATTCTGGTTTTCTTTATTTTTTTTTTTACCTTGCCAGAAAGAAGTTGGTATTTCAGTGGGACACTGTTAGTGTTACACCAGCCTCTTTGGCCCATATTCTCTGATGTGTCTAAAGAAAATGTCACAGCACTCTTGAGGTTTTTGTATTCCTTAATGATTAGATTTTCATTAATACTGTTCCTTGTAATGAAAATCTGTAGATGCTACTTCTGGCTGTTACTTCATCAGGGGAATTTAAGTGGAGTGGAGGTAGTAGGTATCACATAGGAGGCCAGAAAGTTTTTGTAGGGACACTGTTAAATCCTGAGAGAATGAACAGGAAAAACACCACTATTTTTAGATGCATGTGCATGGAATAATTTGTGTTTCTATATATGTCCACTGTCCCCTTCTGGTTATTTTTCCCAGTGCAGAGAGCTCACAAAGGACTTAGCAGCAGCTGGTAGTGCAGGCTTGATTTAGACTGACCTATTCTGCATCCTGGGACTGGAAATCAAGCAGTACAGTGAGATTTATAGCAGGCCTAATGCTCCTGTCTGGCAGATTGCAACTCATATTACACTTTAAAACATAACATCAAGATGGTCTGGAAACAGCCTCAGTGACTTGTCCTACATTTGTTGAGTGATATTAAAATAAGCATCGTGTAATGGAATATGTGGTCAGGGATGGATGTCAGTCATGTACATTGCAGTGGATAAGCACTTGTTTGTTGGGAAAAGATAGCATAGACCCAACTATTCTTTGCAGTGCATGAACCCTTGCATTAAGCATGTATAGATGAGGATATATTTGACCTATATCTGAGTGACTGTGAAGTTAATTTAAAATAGAGGACTGTTCTATAAGGACAGATATCCAAATCATGATGTGGTCACAGCTACATTATTTTTCTTCTCCACCTCCCTTCCAAAGGCTAACTTTGTATATTTGTTGTAAAAATAGTGTGTACAAATAGTTGTGGGTTGTTTTCAATATTGTTAGACCAAGATAAATTTTAGGATCCTCTAAAGACTTTTTCTTTGTCTGGTGAGTAGCAAGGAAGTTGGATTTCACCTCTTGACTGAAGTAAGGTACTGTGGTGGTACATTCCTTCCTTTTCTTGAGCTGTACTATTATCTCAGAAATGCTCATTAGGCCTCAGTCTTGACAAACAGCACCTGGCCTAAGTTCCTCTTGAGCTCAGCAGAAACACTGTCGGCTGCCAGGAGCTTCTGCTGTCTAATGAGATCCTGCTTTTTAACAAACAGCCTTGGAAACCTATTTTTCTTGCCTGAATAACAACCCAAGTGGAACATTTTTGTTATAGAACTTTCAAAGAAAGTTACTGACCTGGATTGAGGCCAGGATGGAAAATTACTCTGCGTAAAGCCAAGTCTCTTGTGGCCCTATCAACAGTGGTCCTAAGTGGGACCTTTTGAGCTCTGCTGGACTGCAGCAGGCTGTGACCAGCAAACTCCCTCTGAATGGAACTCCTCTCAGAGACAGGGAACTCCCAAGTTTGATATAATTGAAAGTTCATTGTTGAATGCTGACTATGGAGCCTTGTACATACTCCTTTATTCTGTATGTGTGTGAATGTGAATATGACATAGCAAATGTACTATGAATGTTACTCTCTTAGATTCTTAAATATATCAGATTTGTAAGCAAGTTAGGCCTGTAAGTGAGGTATTGTAGTGCTAGTCAATTCTACAGAATTTTTGATTAAATTGTGTCAATTCAGCTATCACTTTAGTGTTGTTAAGTATAGGTGCCGCTTAAATTTTTTGGTCTAAATTGTTGGTCAAGTTCAGGGCAAAGTTTGGCAAAATCTTCCACCCTGAACCTTGTGACTCAATGGGTAGGTCTCCTTACTCTTGTTTATCCTAAACCCTTTCCATCCCAGCCTCTATGCAGATAATTTAGTTTTAGATTTATTAATTTCAGATTTTAGTCTGATTTTTCTCTGTGTGATTTAATCATCTAGTAAGTAATAGCTTGCACCTTGCCAACAAACTTTTTCATGCTTTCACTTTTATTGTAAGCCTGCTTTTGCCAGTATCTTTGCTGCCAGTTCTTTGTGCAGAATAAAACACTCATTCATGGCAGGTACAAATACAGCTATGACAATTCCTAACAGTGCTACTTATTTCCCAATCACAGATAATTCTGAATCTAGGAATTAACCAGGATTCAATTTAAGCTGCTGCCTGCCTTTATGTTTTTTAAAGATTGTGTAAATACATTTTATCTCCCTATGCACTGCAGCTGTGACTACAGAGAGGGTCTCACACTGATCTGTGAGTTCACAGAATTCAGAGAATTCACAGAATAGCTAGGTTGGAAGAGACCTAAAAATCATAGAGTCCAACCCATGCCCTAAAACCTCAGCTAAACTATGGCATAGTTGTATGTGACTTTGGCACTCCTGACAGTGTTTCTGTAGATTTTAGAGTAATTTAGAAAACTCTTATACATTCATGTTGTTGCTGTACTAGCTCCTGTTGAAGTCTCTTACAGGTTGTTCAGGAAAGCAAGCTTTCCTTCATTATTCCTTAAGCTTTAGTCTGCAAGGAGAGGAGAAATTAATTTAACTGTCAGGTTCCTAGCTACCGCCCTTTCCACAAGGGTAATTTTGTATGTGCAGCACTATTATCTTCTTAAGTAACAGTGTTATGCTTTCTACAGAATATTGTGAAGACTGAGGATTGAAATGTGCAAATAGCTCTTGTTCCACAAATTTCAACCATCTGGTTGCTTTAAAGGAAACAGGAAAGGGAAGTGCCTTAGGGGGTGAAAAATTATAATTAAAATATTTTAGAAATAAAATATTAACACTTCAAAATTCAACTTTCATCTTTTCATCACAGTTAAGACATCTGGACTCAGAAGGCCTTTATTTTCTGCCTGCATCTGAGCTAAACATCCTCTGTTTTTGTAGTGTGCAGTAAATAACCTAGTACAGCACAGCTGAAAATTCACAGCAATGATTTTATCTTCTGTGCAGTCGGCAGGTTTTATTAATTTTCTCTCTCTTCCACAACTTGGTGCAGTGATTATGCAAAATCATTACAGTCATAGCACAAAACACAAAACCACATCTTTTTTAAATCTCTATATATTGTGTACTAACTTCACCTTACTGTGGCATTAAAATGTATACCAGCAACAAAGGAATTCATGTTTGGTTGAAGGAAATACTGATAGAAAATACATTAGTGTTTGATGTCTACATCACACTCTGTTTTCTATAGTTTTTATCATGAAGTTTTATCTTTGAAAGCACTTTTTGCCCCACAGTAAATGAAGCCAAATAATGAATAGTTTGATTGGCTCCTGAGATTTAGGATAAAGTAATATATGCACAGGAGTAATATTTCTGAGTATATGCACACATTTGCTAAAATTAATGTAAAAAAGTTTTTGTCTAAAGCACCTAGTACACAAAAAAATAGCCAGTACCCTACGGTTTTGTAAATCACGACCTAGATGGATTTTCAGCATCTGAGGACCATGTACAGTTTTCACATATAGAAAATTAAATTCTATGTATATGGTAGTATTGACCATGACTGGATCCCAAGAGCCCATCAAAGTAATTCTAACATTCCTTTTTTCAGCTGGACAGCGAAGAGTATAATGAAAGGCTTGGGGACCAAAATAAGGGTAGGGAGAGATTACTCACTTATTACCATCACGGGCAAAAAAGACTCTGCTTGGGAGAAATTGCTGCATTTATTACCATTCAAATCAGAGAAGGATAATGAGAAATAAACCCAAATTTTAATACACCTTTCTCCCACCCTTCTCTTCTTCCTGGGCCTAACTGTATTCCTGCTTCTCGACATCCTCTTCTTCAGTGTTTCAGGGGACAGGGAATGGGCATTCTGTTCAGTTCATAACCTGCTGTCTCTTTGTCTCCTTCCTCCTCATGAGGAGGACTCCTCACACTCTTCCCCTGCCCTAGTGTGGGGTCCTCCATAAGCTGCAGGTGGATACCAGCATCTCCCCTATGGGCCTCCGTGGGCTACAAGGGCACAGCCTGCCTCACCATTGTCTTCACTGTGGACTGCAGGAGAATGAGTGCTCCACAGCCTGGAGCACCTCCTCCCCTCCTCTTGCACTCACCTTGGTATCTGCAGAGTTGTTCCTCTGGCATTTTCTCAATCCTCTCTTCTTTGGTTGCGATTGCTCCTGAGCAATAACTTCTTTTCCCTTCTTAAAGCTGTTATTCCAGAGGCACTGCCTCAGTCTCTGCTGGGTTCAACCTTGTCCAGTCTTGGAGCCAGCTGGAGTTGGCTCTATCAGACTTGGGGGAAGATTCCAGCAGCTTTGCACAGAAACTGTGGCTCCTCCACTACCAAAACCTTACCTCACAAACCAAATGCTCTTTCTCCATCTTCTAAGTGTTTGAAGAAAATGAAAACTAAAACATCCTTCTGTTCTGTGTTAATGAGCTAATCTGAAACATCTTTATTTCCTATCAATATATTAGCACATTTCATATTGGTACAACTTTGTCTATCAGGTTTCAGTTAAGTACGTTGTTTGACAGCACCATTTTCAGCATATGTATCTTGTATTTAGGCATGTACTGGAGAAGTTTCCTGACATATCCTTTATAGTTGCTAATTAAAGTAATTTCTGTGTAGTTTTACCCATCCAAAATAATCCAAATGTAGGAAATCATCAATGTTGAAAAGAAGCTATATTCAAAAACTATTAGTTTCATTGATAAGGACCCCTATATGAATTCATGATTAAATAATACATATAAGATTTGATCATGTGCAGACATAAGCTAAATAAGAAAGCATATAGGATTTTTTTTAGGTACCTCAAGTTTGTTTCTATTTTTTTACCTACTACTTTCCTCTATACACTGAAGGAAAAAAATGTGCAAAAAATGACAAGGAAAAAAATATGCAAAAAATGACAAGGACATAAAGAATACTACTTTATTTTGAGGTGTTACACAGAGTGAAGAAGTTTTCTTCAGTGGTGATAAGTATGTGTCTGAAAGTAAGCTAGAATTGCATTCTAGCAATATGTAATTCCCTGGGTATACATATTTCTTCCATCTGGTGCATTATTCTATGAACTCACTTCTTTTGGCTTTGAAATGCTAGTTAACAGCTGGTCTAAAGGTTTTCATATTTGTTTTGTACAAGTTCATAATTCATGCGATTTTTAATATTCTCTGTAACATTTAACTGGTTATTTTATTTCAGTTTCATCATTCTGATTTTCCAAAACTGCTGCGTCTCCCCCTCGAATCCACAGGTCAGATTCCCTGTGGAGCCTGGCCAGCTGGGCAGTTGGGGTGAGGCGGGCAGAGGGAAGGGCTTCTCCTTGAATCCCAGGGGGCCTGGAGAAGCCCCCACGTGAGTCCAAAGATGAGCTAGTCCCACAAGCAAAGAAAGAGGCTCTTTCCCTCAGGATTAGTTCCAAAGTTTAATGAGAGCCCGGGAAAATCCCAAGGCACATGTCACCTCGAAGGAGTCCCGAGCAAGAGAGGATGTGTCCCCACCCAGACCAGCCAGATATAGGGGGGTGGAGAAACCCGAACAGCTAATGGGGGAAGGACATGGGAGTGGCTCTCTGGGGGCAAGGCCTCAGAGTGACCACTGAGGAGGGGGTGGGGGAGGAGTCCCAGCCAGGGTCCAGTTCTGGTGACCCTGGGAGAAGGGTCCGGACAAAGGGGAGTGGTCACCAGGTGATGGACACATCACCTGGGGGGAGACAGGGGGATGGGTTGGGGTTTGATGGACATGCAGGTACTGATGGGAAAGCTGGGATGAACCTAACAGATACAAAGAAGAGATATGGAGGGACAAACCATGAGGGGATATACAGTGCAAACACAACTCTACACAAAACAAATATAGCTTAGTTTCTAAATAACTTATTTCTTTTTAAGACAAATGTGTGATGGAGGAAAACTTATGTCAGGAACTATTAAAAATAATCCCCTTTATCTATATGGACTGAAATTGGAACAAAAGTTGAACTAACAGATAAGTCATTTAGTCCAACCCCCTTCACTAAGTAGGGACATCTTCAACTAGATCAGGTTGCTCAGAGCCCAAGCAACTTGAACTTGAATATTTTCAGGGATCTGGTATCTGCCACTCCCCCTGGGCAATCTGTTCCAGGGTCTCAGCTCTCTTACAGAAGGGAAGTCCTTCCTAACATCTATTCTAAATCTCTTCTCTTTAACACTGTTCTCCTTTGTCCTATCTTCTGTGTAAAAGTCACTCTGCCCCTTTTTATAAGTCCCCTTGAAGTACTGGCAGGCTGCAATAAGGTCTCCCCAGAGCCTTCTCTTTTCCAGGCTGAAGAGCCCCATCTCTATCATCCCTTTGGCAAGATCACTGGTGAAGGAATTAAACAGTATATGCTCCAGTACTGAGTCACAGACTACCCATCCAACTTATGCTCTGGAGTCCATCCATCCAGATTGTATTTTCAGAACATGGCTCTGAGATTACTCTGGAGCACTGCCTTGAAAGCCTTGGTGAAGTTTAGGTAAGAAATAATCACTCTTTTTTCTTTTTCTGTTCTTGTGAATTATCACTTTTGTCTAATTATTAAATTTAGAACGTTATTCAAATTGCTCACACATACACTTAAGAAGCTGAAGTTATACCTGATTCCTAGTTAATAATGTGGAATTGTCAAAAGCATAAAGTTGTCAACTGACAGAAAATTATTGGATAAATATTGGACCAGGAAATTATTGGATAAAAAAAGTGAAAAGTTTCCTGTACATAAAATATATACACTTTTTTTGTCATAGTACTTAAATGAAACTTCCATAGTTGTCTGAACTGAATGAAAAGGAATCAAGATCCAAACCATGGCTCTGCCAGTTAATACATGGCCGGGCCTCATGCATTCGATCAGAAATATTTGTGTGTACAGTCTGGCAGCATATGAAAATTTACTTTCTTTTTTCTTTTATGTTAGTTCTCAGGAATACAAGACAGGATTCTTTTAAATTCAGGAAATAATGCTTTATATAAAGTATGTCTTAGTGCCAAACACTGATGACCCTTGAAATACCTTTAGAGCAATGCAAGATTCTTCACTTTGTGTATTAGCTCTTAAAAGTTGTTGGTTTTTTTCAACCTAACTTTTATATTACATTTGACATTTCACAGTTGGCAAGTAATCTACACAGACCAATCAAAACATTTTGATAAATGAAATATTTTGATAAATATTTCAGATTTTGTAGAAATAGCTAGCCAATACATAATAATTACTCTTTCTATAGGGTGATAAGGCAGCATTCAAAAACCCGTATAATAATTGGCTATTATACACCACATATGTGTGATAGTCAACAGTGTGATGACATGCATAATATATGGATGGGTATCAAGTTTATTTAAATAGGCTTTTTCTTTTCTGTGTCTTCATTAAAACAACAGGTCTTTATTTGCATATTATTTCAAAGACCTTCCTGTTTATTTATAATTTAACAGTTTTGGTACTTTTCATTTTTGGCATTTTATTCTTCTGCTCACCGTCTTCTCTTCCCCATCCCACTGATACAGCTCTGAAGTTCCTAAATCTGCACTACAGTTTCATTATTAATGAAAGCTTAGTATTAAGCAGATTGTGTACATTACAGTCTTAACCTGGAAAGAAGTAAATTCATTCAATTTCAGTAGCAAGTCAGTACTGTAGACACTTCAGTTTTTGTCAGAACTTCGACATGGGATCTTACCTAAGAGAGAGGAGGAATGTTGAACACATGCATGATTGGAACCTGTGTATTTTTTCAACCCCTAGTAATTTCAAAATTTCTGGAAATTTCCTGTTTAGGTTTAAAGGGATAGGTATTCTTGTTTCCTGGTGGGATTTATTCCACTTTCTAGGAAAGGTTCAGTTTTCTGTTAACATCATGTACTCACCTATCTTGTTTTTTTGTTACATAGGTTTCTGTGCTGCTGAAATCTTAATGCTCTGGCAGCCCGAAGTGTTGATGAAACATTTTGTTTGGACTGTTTTACAGAGCAAAGGCTACCCTTTGTTGCTGCTGAGCACCGATTTCTGCAGTGGTTTTTTGTTATATCATGGCAATGTTTTCTGTTAATTATGCAGACTAGTGGTAGCAAGCTACTAGAAGACAGTGGAAAAGACATTTGAGAGATATATTTTGTGTATGTCTGGCCCTACACACAAAATCTTTGGACTTGGGCTTCACTCTTAGCACTTATTCATTTCCCTTCCCTCTCTGAAAACAAACTACATTTGTAGCGGCAACAGTAGTATTGCTAGACAGGTACAATCTCTCCGAGACGAAAGCAGTCTTAAAGAAATATTGTTTGGCAATGTCCTTGAGTCCCATGCAGTCCTATGGACCTGGTATTTCCAGTCTGATCAATTTATGGTCCTCCATGATATACTCTTTTGGGTAATACCTCACTCCCTCAGACCCTGAGGCTGCCATTAAGTACAGTAAGGTGTACTGAGAGTAAACCTCACCTGTAATGGCAGAAGAGGCAAATGAGTACTAATGTGTTTATGTCTTCTTCCTTCATCGCTGGATCCCTTACCTTTATTAGCAGAAAATGTGAGTTATCCTTGGTCATGTTTTGTTGCCAGTGTCCTCATAGGAGCCTTGTTTGCCCACCATGTTCCACACTTATTATGATTCCAGTGATCTTTTTCTTGATCTTGATTAGGTTTGTATGGTATTACCATGTAATCAGAGAGTGTTTACACAATGCAGGATTTTCTTTCTCTACCTGGGAAGAGGCTGTTGTATTATATCTTGTAACTGCCTACAGCCAGAGGTGGTTAGATTCTCTTCTGTTCTGGAGTTTTTTATTTCATAGAAGTATTTCCATGTTGAACTCTGCTCTCCTAATAGTGTTGAAGAAAAAACGATGGGATAGGAATCAAAAGTATTGAAGCAAGCAGAAAAATGTACCAGTGGGGTTCAGAAATAGAGACCAAGACTGAAGACAGGAAAATCTCTCACATACTGTATAATTGTTGTTTTGCTGAATGGCAAATTCCACTTAAGACCCCTTCCAATATGTTGCAGTCTGTAGCTCCCAGGCCTGTTGATTCATTCACTGACAGAAATCCAGCACGTAAGCTCCCTCTATATGGGAAATTCAATAGCTTTTTTGCTTTTTTTAGAAATGTGGGATAGTGCAGTTTATATAGAAATACATGCAGCTTCACAGTGCACATGAGGATCTAAACAAACAGTTCAGAATCTCACAATCTCAAAACAGTTTTAAACACTTTATTGGCAGGGACTGTGAAAAGCTAAAACTGTAGGAACTGCAAGCTTCAAGCAGAAAAATTAACATAATGAATTCTTGCTGGATGTAAGATCCTAAAATTTGAATCTCAGCTCTGCTCCTTCTTGTGCTATTATTTTTGACTAGTAGAAGAATTTCACTCCAATTGCTTTCTAAAATGAGAGAATCTGACAAGCTACTTTTTCAAAATATTCCTTTGGTTGCTGTATATCCTTGTCGTTACATGGAACTGATGTCAAATGGACTTATTTTGGTTTTATTTGAACTATCTTAACTTCAGAAGTCACTGACACTTTTTGCTGGCTTTTTTGTAATTTTAAAAATATATTGAAAGCATGATAATTTCATAGTACTCAAACTGAAACATTAAAAGCAAGTAATGAAATTTGGGTAGATTACATAGGCCCAAATATTATTTTGGGTGGATAAGAGGTACTAATGTCTTATTTTATTCCTTAAGTAGAATTCAGAAAGACTGTCACTGTAAAGTGTGATGTAACTGGTGTGTCTCAGTGAAGATAATGCCAGATATATATTATTGCCCTTCCTATTTCTGTTAATGAATTAACAGAATGCTGTGAATGTTATTAAAGTAAGACTGAATAAGGCAGAAACTTAGTTATATCAACAGCAAAGTTCAGTTTGACAAAGTTAATAGAATTTCTTTCTGCCGATTTTACAGAACAGAGCATCCTAGGTTCTTTCTTCACAGCAGTTTGGGAAAAAGCATCACAACAAAATACAAGGTAGTTTCATTAGTGTTTCTAGAAAAACTGCCTCCTCCCAACAATATTTAGAGAACCAAAATAGACTTGCTTTAATCTGTGGTTATATAAAAGAATGTTTGTGGTGTTATACAAAGAATACTCTTGTTCTCTTATAGAGGAAATTATGTCTCTACTCTGTAGCAAATTTGAATTTCATGTTTTTTCAGTGAAGTGCTGTTCAAGGTGATTAAGGATGTATAATCTTTCTCAGTATGATGTATAAACTCATTCTGCTTTCACTTCATGCCTTGTCTTTATGCTTACACACAGTAGTGGAACATTAACCTCCATTTTAATTCTACAGTGTTAACACGTAGCTCTTTGTAGTGAAGATGGTAAAGAAAATCAAATCATATGCCTCAGGGACTCAGACACTGGCCTGCATAAGGGTCAAAAGATTCTGCAAATGCAAACAAGGACATACGCTGGATGAATCTTGAAGGTGTGTCATGTCTTTATCTGAAGCACCAGTACCTGCTGTACCTTGAAATAGGATACCAGATTAACTGACAGCAATCAGACACATTCAAAAGGTTTTAAACTAAAATTTAATCACTGCCTGTTCACTTCAGAGAAAAACAATTGTCGTCTTCCCCTCTCTTTCCCCTGCAATGAGAGACTGATTTGCTAATCTTCCAATCAAGTACAGGACGCCGTGTTTAAAATGTCAATAAGAGGCTTCCATTTCTGAAGACATGGTGAGATTTAAGAATTTAGTGAGGGCCATTTTGAAACTAACTTCCACATTAAGTAAAAAATAGGTAAATTTCGGGCAGTGACAAATCTGAATGAGATTTCTGAGACCTTCTATGATGCAGAATATAAAATTAAATCAATGGAGGAAGGAGGAGTGGAAAATTCCATGGGTAGATGTGGAGATGCAGTTTAAGACCTAAATTTATGTACAGGAATTAAATCCATGGCTGTGTGGATTAATTGCATATCCATAGGAAAGAGTCAAGACGACAGTGGAAAGTGACTCTAGAATTAGAAAGTGTATGATAAACCTGATTTTAAAATACTTTTACTTGTCTTTAAATGCTTTCTCTCTCCTACTTTATGTTTTTGATTTGTTTGTTTGCTTTTCTGTTTCAAATATTTATATTTTGCTACAAGTTTAACTACCCTAAAGGTGTTTGGAATTTACTTGTCAGTCTGTCTGAATTATAGAATCACTCTCTGATCCTGTCCGAACATCAGCATATTTTTGCACGTTATCCTTGCAGGCTGATTTGAAAATTCAATCATGTTAAAGATTTGTAAAGAAAAATTTCTCAGTGACCTCTCTGATATTTGGTATAAAGCAGGCTGCTGTGTTTTGGAAAATAGCTAAATTTTTTTGTTTGTTTGTTTGTTTGTAGACTATTGCAGATTTATATGCATGTCAAAGGGATGCACATAAATATTTAATAACTGTAACTTCTATAACCAATTAACTTCTATAACTTTCTGTAACTGCATATGTATATATACA